TAGAGCTGTGTTATTACGTGTGGTAGCCATTAGCCATATGTGGCTCTTGAGTGCTTGAATTATGGTTATTCTGAATTTACATGTGCTGTATGTGTAAAACACACTGTATTGGTCCGTTTGCATTGCTATAAGGGAATACCTTAGACTGGATAATTTATAAAGAAAAGAGGCTTATTTTGACTCATAGTTCTGCAGACTTATAAGAAGCATACTCCTGGCATCTGCTTCCAGATGAGTGTGTCAGGAGTGTTACAGTCATGGTGGAAGGGAAAAGAGAAGCAAGCTTTTCACGTGGGAAGAGAAGAAGCAAGAGAAGGCAGCAAGAGAGAGTGGATGGGGGAGGTGCTAACTACCAGATCTTGTGTGAACTCAGAGTGAGAACTCATTATCAAGGGGAGGGCACCAAGTCATTCATGAGAGACCTGCCCCCATGACCCAAACACCTCCCACCAAGTCCCACCTCCAACATTAGGGATTACATTTCAACATGAGATTTGGGTGGGGACAAATATCCAAATCATTTCAAACACACTGAATGTTAGGGATGTAAGTTGGAAAAACGTATATGAAAATCTCATTTTTTAAATATCAGTTACATCCTGAAGTGATAATATTATGACTCTATTGGGTGGTATACATTGTATTAAAATTAATTGCACCTTCTTTTTACTTTACAGTGTAGTTACTAGAACATTAAAAATTACATTTTAGGTTCATATTATGTTTCTTTTGGGCAGTGCTGCTCTAGAATCCCTCTGCAGATTTCAGGAGCACTTTCTCTCCTGAGTACCGTCCTTTTGCTAATCTGTCCCACAAATTCCCACTACCTCAGACTTCCTGAATTTTTATCTGTCTCTTGTACTCAGTGAGTCCTCCATATTCTTCTTGGCTTCCCTTTTCTGCACTGTCATCCTGACTGTGCATCCAAGTATTTGTAGGGATACTTTCCCTTTTTCCAGGCCTCACAGTGCTGAGCTGCTCATTGTCTGATGTTTTAAAATTGTAGTTTCATATATTTTGTCAGTTTTCTAGTTTAGTTCAATGGGAGAGCATTCCAATACCAGTTGCTACATCATGGCTGGTAGCAAAAATCTTAAGGCATGAGGAATTGGGTGCCCTTATGAGTTCACCCTCATTTGAATTAAAAATACCCTTTGCAGCTAATCCTAAATTTTGATTACAAATGAAATTCATAATTTTGTGAGTTTCATTTTGGATTGACTTTGGAACTGTTTTCATATAGAAACTTTTGTTTTCTTTGACACTGCATTATGCTCAGTACAGAACATCCAGTGAAATTTTGATTGTTTTCAAATGTAAGGTAGTACAAATAATTTGAACACTGGTTGAAGTCGTTTCATTTAACCATTCTTACTAGTGCGGAAAATTGGAAGCTGAGAAAGTTGTACCATGGTATAAAACATGATATTCAACATTCAAATGTCCTTGATAATGCTTCAAAGGTCTCGTTTCTTTCAGGAGTACCTTCTATTAAAAAAGGTGTTTTGTTTTTAATCACCTATTTGAGATAGGAAAAAAACAAATTATATTTTTTTGGACTCTTTCATACACCACTCGCCACGGGATACTTTGCCTCCAGTCACCAAAACGTGTTTGAGGGTTTCCCACTTACCAAGCAGTTCTCCAGTGTACACAGCTGGATTTCCTATAATTCAGTTCAATTCTAATACTATCTACCTTATACTATCAGATCCTACAGGTTGAGGGCTCAGCCTGACAAGACTGGCCCACTTTGGATGCCAATTGCAAGTCCCTGGTTGTGACCTGTACTTCTGATCAGTTGGCTGTAAATCAGGGGTTCTCCCTACCCCTTCTTCTGGTTTGATTAATTTGCTAGAGCAGCTCACAGAACTCAGGGAAACACTTTATTTATGTTTACCCATTTATTATGAAGGATGTAGATGAATGACCAGTTGGAAGAGATGCATAAGGTAGGGTGTATAGAAAGGGGCACAGAGCTTCCATCCTCTATCTGGTCATGCTACCATCCAGGAACCTCCATGTGTTCAGCAGTCTGGAAGCACTCCAAACCCTGTCCTTTTTTTTTTTTTTTGAAGGGTTTGTTACCTAGGCATGATTGATTACATACATCATTGACCGTTGGTAATCAGCTCAACCTTCGGCTTCTCTCCCCTCCCTAGAGGTTGGGAGTTGGGGCTGAAAACATTAACCCTCTATTCATGCCTGCGTCTTTCTGATGACCAGCACACGTATTGAAGCTACTTAGGGCCCCCTAGTCACTAGTCATTTCACTGGCGTACAAGAGACACTTGCCACTCCAGGAGAAACCAAATATGTATTTCTTATTACATCACATTATTTCTATCCATGTGATTTGTGTGATGTTGTATAGTTTTTAGTTCTGGTAATTGTCATATAGAAACATTAAATATATTTTAAAAGATATTATGAAATTATCAATAATTGTAAATATTTCACAGCAGGTATCTACCTGTTCATGGTCTCTATCATATAGAGGTATTGATGTACAATGTATATCTGAACCTACTCAAATGTACTGGTCTTCTGAGACTGAGGTTTGCTTTGTTGTATTAGGCATTCATTTTTTTTCCACCTCTTTATTCAACAAAAGCATTTACTGAACTGTGGTTATGTATAGCAGTTAAAAGCATTCCTGTATTCTAATCCTGGCTTCACCACTTTACTAGCTGAATACCTTGGGAAGTTGCTTCTTTAGTATTTGCGTTGCGTCTTGAGAATAGTAATGGGGTAATAATGTTGTTGTTGGCATTATGTCAGGTAATGACATGTAAAGCAATTAGTGTGCTGAATAGCATATGATAAATACTCAAGTATTACTGCTGCTCTTGTAGTTGTTGTTATTACATTAGGCTTTGTCTGGGTACATTGTCTATAGTTTTAATCTCCTTCCTCTGACAGTACTTCCTTCCCTGCTTAATTTTTTTTTCTCGTTAAGGACTTTTCCACCAACCTACCACCTATGTTATATATTCCTTATTCACCTTGTACTGTAGGTCTCCCCACTAGAATGTAAGCTCTGTGAAGTCAGGAATAGGGATAGGGATTGATTCCTAGCACCTAGAAAAGTGCCTGGAATATGTTGGATGCTTAGTAAATGTTTTCCAAATGTATTATACTGAATCCTGGGCCAGATATTGACTAGATATTGGGGATATAAAAAGAACAAAGTACAAAATTCCTTCTTTTAAAAAAGCATATGGTATAATAGGGGAGACTCATACTTGTACAACTAACTACAATAATTTTACTCCCTGGGAGTGATGGTGATAGTTAAGGTGTACTGAAGATGGCATCACCGAACGCGTCTTTGAATTGGACATTTGACCTATATAAGAGACAAAGGGGAAAGTTATTTCCAGGTGGAGGTAAAAACAAAGTTAAAGAGCTTAACAGTTTTGGCAATGGCTTGTTGTCCAGGTTAACAATGTATGTCAATGGGTAGTAAAGGGAGATAGGGATAGCAATTAGAGGTCCAGGTTGTCTCCCTTTTAGATGGACGGAAGCAGCGGGATTTGAAGGTTCAATATATGAAATTTGGTGATAACTGACTCAGCACTAACATTTTAGTTTTTTTTTTTGAAAGACTGTGTTTCATTATAGATTATTGTAAAAGAACTATAAAAACTTGATTTTTAACAATATAGTCTTTTAGAAACTACTTGAAAACTAAGTACAAAATACATCATCAATAACTACATTTATATAATTGAGGAATTCATTTTGATGTGAGAATATGTACTGTGATGTGTAACTGTCAAATTTGTGTTTAATCACTTGTTTGCTATAGGCCAAATAGCTAAATTTTGGCTTCACTTTCAATTATTGTATTTTAGAAGTTGGTAATGCATCTAAGTTTGAGGAATTTTTTTCTGCATTTTAGTACAATTAGATTAAAAGCTGAAATGGCGTTTTAAAGCAAGTTCCTTTTACCTTTGCAAAAAAAAAAAAAAAAGCCTTGTTTATGTGTTTTTATGTCTTTTAAAGTTTGGACTTTTAATACTTAATTTGTTAACATAAAAAGAATGCTTGGCAGTTTGTGTTGTTCCCTCCCACCCCCAAAGGAGGTGTCCGTTTCCGAATAGAAGCAAAATCACTGTCATAATAATTAATACTGCTGAATCAGATTCAGAAGATTGGCGTTTCTGTGGAGAAATTATTTTCATTTGATGAAATGGATTTACTTGGGGATTGATTGAATCACCTGATCATGCATTTCTAAATTACTGTGTTAGCATTATAATTGATCCTGGCCAATGGGAGTGAGGAGAGAGATAGCTTTCTTTTTTCTACCTGAATGTCTTGCTCTATCTTCAAGCAAGAATGTAGCAGGGCTGGGTTATTCTTTATGCACCTAATCCATTGAGCAGTGTTCACTAGTGTTCCTTTATTAATGCGAATTATGGACAACCATCAGTATTCTGTTCATTTTTGTCATTTTGTGTTAATTTCATTGTTCCCTTTAAAAGATAGCTAGCTAGTGAAAAGTACAGATGTACACATTGTATTGAAATACAGGTATATTTTATGGTGATAACACATAATTATTTCACAATTTTCTTGATGAAAGCAATATGGTAAACATTTTAAACTATTTAAAACAAGTTAGTTTATTGAAACTAGTTAGTTCAATAGGCTATACACACAGTACAGATAAACATAAAGTATAACATATGATACAGAGGATAGGAAAATGGGACCTAGGAAACCAAGTTTTGAATCTCACAATGCAAAGAATATTATTGAACATTTGAGTAATACTTGCTGAAGAAAAAGGATTTGTAACAATGGAAATAGTTGGCTAACATTTTGTTTTATTCCAAATAAAACAAATGACTTTTTAAAATTTAATTTTCATTTAACAGTATTTGTGGCGCTTTCTGCTAAGAATGGTGTCGAGTGCTAGAATTTTGTATAATTGTATATTTAATTCAGTTTTGGAGTCAAGAACAATAACGCACTCAAATTTTTTTCTTTTTTAAGGAATTGCATTTTGCGAAAAGGAACAAGAATTTTCTGCAAGGATCATATCTAAGTGCACTTTTAGCTGATACTTCATTTCTAGTAAGTCATTTTTTCTTTTCTATGTTAAGAAGTAAATACAATGGAAATGTATTTTAAAAATCAAGCTGTGCTTTTGAGATTGAATGGCAGTTATTATAGAGGTTTTCTTGGGGGCGAGGCGGGGCTTAATTTAGACCAGTTAAGGAAATTTGTAAAATTCAGTTGAAATGCATAATATTGTGTACTGGCAGTTTAGTTTCTCTTACATTTTGTCTGACGCTGCTGAAATAATCTCAGATTTTTTCATCTTTCACACTTCTTCCATATTCTTTTATCAGTTAACCTCTATTTGAAGAAAAAATTAAGTAGGTAGTTGGTAGTCACTGAGACAGTTAATAAGATGAAGGGAGCATTGGGGGACATGAGTTACATGAGCTGAGGAAAGATTTTCAAGTGAAAGATGACGTGGACATATCTAGCTGTATCTCATGAAGTGTGGGAAATGTCAAATAGAAAAAGCAAATTAAAATGTCCACATTTTAAAAGACTTGGAATTAACTGCCTTAAATTAATGGGTTCATATTTGCAAAGCTCAGGAGTAGATTATTTTGGTTAAAAAAAATTACGTTGGCCTAGGTTAACATTCACAGTATCTCAGTAAGATGTGTAGTCCTCAAAAGTTTTCATGTGTGAAACCTTACCTGAATTCCACCTTCTACTTAAAATGGAAAAGAAGTGAATTATATTAATGCTAGAATATTTTAAAAGAAGTAATTTTGAAAAATGTTAGGGGATATTTTTCAGTGTGTTATAATGAGTTAACATTAGCATTTTAAATATTAGATATCATTGATCAAGCCTGATGATTACGTTAGTAAAAATTTTGGAAAAGGTATCTTAAAAATTTTTATTTTGCCCATTTCAGGAATACTTTTGCTACTTAACATAGGTCTGAGGTTGTTTTTCTTGAATAATTAAATAGTAGAAAGAAATAACATTTTACAAACTTACAAAAATGAGTTCTTTGTTAAAGTATTCTGACATCAGTTTCATATGGCTATATATTTTTCTTGTAACTTGACTGAAGAACAGCCCATTTAATGATTGATAATCTTTTAGTTTAGGAGACTAGGAGAAAAGGGCCTGTTTATCCAGCTGATACAAAGTACCTTCAGTTTAAAACTTGTGTATGTGTAGGTGGGATGGGAATAGTGGAGTTTAATTCTCATTTTAAAATATAAACCTTGGTTAGTCTTCTGTAAATCTTTTTCTTCTTTTCTCATCATTATAGTTGGCCCTTTCTATCCATAGGTTCCTCATCTGTGGATCAACCAACTGTGGATAAAAAAAGCCTATACTTCAAAACAATAAAAAATAATGCACCAATAAAAATTTTACATTGCATTAGATATTATAAATATTCTAGAGATGATTCAAAATATAGGAGAATTTGTGTAGGTTGTATACAAATACCACACCATTTTTATATAAGAGACTTGAGTGTCTAGGATTTTGGTATCCATGGGGGATCCTGGAACCAATTTCCCACTCCACAGATGCTAAGCAAGGATTTTACTTACGTTTCTCATCTGTTTGCTTTGTTCATTAACTGCTGGAAACTGAGTGATATGAGCTAAAGCACTCATGCCCATGGCTGAGAACTCTGTACTTTCTCTGAACCTCAGTGATGACTGTGGGTGTAACTTCATATGTTATATTTTGAGTCGTGTTTAAATTTTAGGGAATCCTCTATGCTGCTTCCTCTACTAGTCTCTAAGGATGTAGACAGTGTCTTATTCTTCATGACGGGCCTTCTGTAGTTCTATGGGTTGTGCCTGAGTTAATAACTACTTGCTTAGGAGTTAACTTTTGTACTTAGATTGGAAATGCCCTTTCTTTTTGAATAGATTAATATGTTAACTGGCGAAGCTCAGATTCGAGATTTTCCTTACAATTCTGCTGCAGTAGAAATTGGAGGTTTGTCATAGGGATTAGACAGAATTTCTCCTGGCTTTCCTTCATGTCTTAGAACTCCTTTGGGCTACTACATTTAGGTCAGTGATCCATTTTGAATTGATTTTTGTATATGGTGTGAGGTAAGGGTTGAAGTTTATTTCTTTGAATATAGATATCACATTGTTCCAGCAGTTTTTTTGAAAAGATTATATTTTCGCCTGTTGAATTATCATGGCACATTGTTGAAAATTAATTGGCCATTATGTGTGGGTCTTTTTCAGAACTCTGTTCTATTGATCTATATATCTATCCTTAAAATCTGGTAATGTAAATCCTCTTAAGTTCTTCTATTTCAAAGTTGTTTCTTCTGTTCTGGATCCTTTTTATTTCTTTCTATGTAGTTTAGAATCAGCTTTTTAATTTCTCCAAAAAAAGCCTAACAGGATCTTGATTATGAATGTTTTTACCCTAGAGATCAATTTGGGAGAATTGACTTCTTAAGGATATTGAATCTTATTAATGCATGAGCTTGGTACCTCTATTCATTTAAATCGTCTTTATTTTTTCTCAGCAGTGTCTTGTAGTTTTCAGTGTAATGGTGTGACACATATTTTGTTAAATTCATCTCTAATTATTTTAATTTTATGTTATTATAAATGGGAATTTAAAAGAATATCATTTTCCAATTGATTGATGCTAGGATACAAAGGTAAAATTGATTTTTATATAAAACTTTATAATTTGTAATATTGCTAAATTAATTATTAGTGCTAGTGGCTTTTTTGTAGATTTCTTCAAATAGTCTATGTAGACCATTATCTTCTCTGTGAATAAAGACTATTTTATTTCCTCCTTTTAAATTTATGCACCTTTTATTACTTTTGCTTGCTTTATTACACTGGTTGGTAGTCCTAGTGCAATGTTGAATAGAAGTGGTGAGAACTAACATCCTTGCCTTACTTCTGATCTTAGGTAGAAAACTAAGTTTTTCACTAGCTCTTGGTAAGAGGTTGTTGTTGTTGTTGTTGTTTTTTCCCCCCTCTCCTTTTCATGAATAGGTGTTGAATTTTGGTGAAATGTTTTTTCTGCGTCTATTGACATGGTCACCTACCTCTCCTCCTGTTTGTCTGTGCACGTGGTCAGTTATATTGATTGATTTTAAATATTTAACCAACCATTCATGTATTCTTAGGATAATTATCACTTGGTCATGATGTGTTACACTTCTTGTATATTGCTGGATTCACTTGCTAAAATTGCATTGACTCTTTTAAAAAGTCTACATTCCTAGAAGGCATTGGATTGTAGTTTTTGCCTGCGTGTGTGTGTGTGTGTGTGTGTGTGTGTGTGTGTGTGTGTGTCAGGGTAATGCTGGTCTCATAGAATGAGTTAAAATTTCTTGTTCTTGAAGAATTTGCATAGAATTGTTGTTATTTCTTCTTTAGGTGTTTGGTAGAATTCACCAATGAAGACCTCTGGACCTGGAGGTTCTTTGTGGGAAGGTTTTAAACTGTTACCGGCGGTGAATCTGCATGGTTCTGCAGCAACCTCAGTTCTTGCCTTCTCAGAAGAAAGAATTCGACTGAGGGGCATAAGGCAGAAGGAGAGACCGAGGCAAGTTTTAGAGCAGGAGTGAAAGTTTATTAAAAAGCTTTAGAACAGAAATGAAAGGAAGTAAAGAACACCTGGAAGAGGGCCAAGTGGGCAACTTGAGAGATCAGTGCGTGGTTTGACTTTTGACTCAGGGTTTTATATGTTGGCATACTTCTAGAGTCTTGTGTCCCTTCTGCCCTGATTTTTCCCTTGGGGTGGGCCATCTGCATTCACAGTGGCCTAGCGGTTGGGAGGGGAGCCTGTGCAGTGTGTTTATTGAAGTCGTATGCATGTTTCCTTGACGTATTCTTCCCTTACCAGTCCAGTGTCCTAGGAGGTCATACACCAGTTAAACGCCACCATTTTGCCTCTTAATGTGCATGCTGGAGCCCACTCGTCCAACTCCTGAGATGTTATAGGGAAGCTGCTGATCACCGGCTTCAGGTGTTTTTTATCTGTTGGGAGACTGCCTTTCACTGGCGTGGGCCGCGACCAATTATCATTTTGGAGAGACAGTTTAACAACTGCCTGACCATCAGCTGGTGGTTGCCTAACATTCCTGGGGGGGGGGGGGGGGGGTGTGTGTGTGTGTGTGGCTCGCTGCGGGGGAGGGGTGTGTGTGTGTGTGTGTGTGTGTGTGTGTGTGTGTGTGTGTAGCTTCTCCTGCCCTGCTTATGTCTGACTAGCTACCTAGTGTAACAAAACTATGAATTCAGTTTCTTTAACTCATGGATTTATGTTAATTCTTGTTAAATAAGCTTTAGTTGTTTCTTTTTCAAAGAATTTGTCTAGTTTATGTAAGTTGTCTAATTTATTGGCACGAAGTTGTGTTTTAGGATCCCTGTTCTTTTACATTTGAAGAATCTGTAGTGCTATCCCCTTTTTTGTTCCTGATATTTGGAAACTTCCTTCTTTTTCTAAAAGAGTATTTAATCTTTTAATTTTCCTTTGTTTTGCATCCTACAAAGTTAGTAATGTTGTGTGTTCATTTCCATGGAGTTCAGAGTATTTTAAAATTTCCACTGTGATTTTTTTTCCTTGACCCATGTGATTTTCAAATATTTTGTTAATTTTCCAGATTTCTTTCTCTTACAGGTCTCTAATTTAATTCTACTATAGTCCAAGAACATCCTTTGTGTGATGTAAGTTCTTGTCAACTTGTTGAGATTTATCATAAGGCACAGTTGTGGTGGTCTGTGTTAGTAAATTTTTTTTTTTTTTTTTTTAAGACAGTCTCACTCTGTTACCGAGACTGGAGTGCAGTGGCGTGATCTTGGCTCACTACAACCTCCACCTCCTGGGTACAAGCAGTCCTCCAACCTCAGCCTCCTGATTAGCTGGGACTGCAGGCGTGCGGCCATCACACCTGGCTAATTTTTGTGTGTGTGTGTGTGTGTGTGTGTGTGTGTTTTTGGTAGAGACGAGGTTTTGCCATGTTGACCAGGCTGGTCTCGAACTGCTGACCTCAAGTGATCTGTCTGCTTTGGCCTCCCAAACTGCTGGGATTACAG